TTTCTTTTTAAATTTGTATAATGTAGGCACTCTGAGTTGATATTGAGATGAAGTTGCTTCCAATTGTCGAAAACTTGGGAACTGACTCTAGCTAGCTCGTGCTTAACAAACCTATCACACCAATGTTTTAGCAAAGCACTACGTTTTTGAATTATGGAAGCTTAGGCTACATTGCAAGTGAGAGTTTTTTTGTGAAATTTTTGCTGACGACATTTAGTTCCTAGAAAAATTATTAACATGAGGTTGAGTTACCTACAAGTTGTATTCTTTGAGTACTGATAGCGTTATCTATATCTATGTATCTATTTTTACTAGTTGGAACACGGTTGTGGACAGCACAGTCGAATCCAATTTTTGGTAAATTAATATTGTAATATTCAAAATTGTGAAAATTATTAATTTTTTGAAAGATGAATGTTGAGAATCACATTTGGTCCAAAAGCAAACAAAAAACCTTGGCACCTTGCAAATAAAAACAGAAATATAAACTTATCATCAAAAATTGACTTCTCATCCAACCAAACTAGTGCGGTACCCGTGCGATGCACGAGCTAATTTTATTAAGATGAGCATTTATATTTGGATGATTAGAAGAACGTAAAACACATGTATTGGAATAAAACAAATGTAACATATATATTATTAAACAGAAAACAAAAAATATAGAAAACAATCTACCTCTGTCTAAACTGTATCTAAGAAAATAAACACTTGAAGGGTTCAACAAAGACAGTTTCCCCCAGCATTTTGGTATTGACGAACTCGAAGGGTTCTGGGCTTACAAATCATCACATCTTTCCCAAACCACACAACTTCAAACAGATATCAAATATTAGAGATACGGGGAAATCTCCTAAAGAAAATCGAATATCGGCATCCTCAGCTAGGAATCATCTTAACTCCGAGGTCATTGCCGAACAATGGAAATGATCAACTCGCATGACTCTTTCGACTGGCAGTGTCGGCCGTCACGGTAGCTCTTTCACCGGTAGCTAATCGTGTCGGCAGTCCTAAACGAGCTTGATTTCTACGCTGCTACAATGTACACGTTTCTGGATCTCATCACAAAGCCTCCTCGGTTGATTCTTCTCGATCGCGTGTCGAACATAGGTCATCATCGATGAAACCATGACAAACCGATTCGGGTATGAATGGAGTACCCAGACCGAATGGCATCATCACAACTGAAAGAACGATTTAAGACAAGCGAAAAATGAAAGTACTCGTCTTAATCAATACACAAGGTTGCAAATCTTAAAGTGGAAAACTCCAACAAATCAAAAACAAGAGTTTTCGAAGAATTGCAAAAAGTCAAAGAAATACCAAGGATCACTCTCGAAACTCTGAAGGGAAAAAGAACGAGAGTTTTCAAGGATTTACGACCAACACAATTCCAAAAGAAGACGGCTCTGCACTTCACGATGTGCTTACATCAGGCTCGACTACTCTCCTTAAAAGGTTTTCTTATAACAAAACGTCCCTAGAAAGGCGTCGAGGCTCCTCCTGATCCGGTATGCGATGATTCTCACGGATGCCACCTTGGTTCAAAGTTAAAACAGATCACAAAAGAGAATGGACTGCCGTCTATCTCGAAGCTAAGGTATTCTCAACATAACTTACGCATCGACTTTGTAAACTTTTATAAAAGATAGGGCCTCAAGGAATCGGGAAGAGATAACTGAATGGGTTACTCCAGCATCAAATAATGCAAAAACAGGCATATTGGATATTGAAAGCATTCTGGTCATGGTACTTGTACGGTTGGCTGCCTCGTCGTGGGCGATAGTGTAGACACGAGCCTGGCCTCCTGTCCCTTGCTGGTATGGTGGGGGCAGTATAAGCTTCTGCTGCTGCTTGTGGTTCGGCCTCCGAGGTTCTGAGCAGGCACATGAGTTTTGACCCTTCTTCTGGCAGTTGTAGCAAGTCACGTCGGTAGCCCGACACGCATTGGCTTCATGGACTACCCCGCATGCTCTACACGGCGGGGTTCCAGCAGGAATTTGACGGAGGGGCTGGGCAAACTGTAATAACCCAGTTTTTTATTAATAAAAGTGATGTATTTCCTTTTGTTAATAATATTTATTTCAGCTTCCAGTTAATAAGTTCGACTTTAAGTCGAAAGTCTACTCGGTTTAATTATTAACCGAGTTCATTTCGATAATTAGTTCCCGAAATGTTTATTTTTATAAATGGATATTATTAGTCGGGATTAATTATTGAAAATCAAGATTATTCGAATTAATTTTTGAAGTCAAGTTTTAACCGAAAATGAATAAATTCGGTTTAAGTTGTTATGCGTACACACCATCTCTATACATCGCCGTGCTCACATTGGTACACCGTTCACTTAGGTCATGCGCACGCCCCATGCGCTATCGAACGCACACCATCGCTCTAGCAATGCACGTAGTGCCGTGCATGCGCGCACGTCGTACTAACCACCATCCATCTCATGCTTATGCTTAATTAAGTATTATGATCATGCTAAGTAATCCAAGTTCACTTCTTTAGCAATTGCCGTGAGCTTTGTGGCATCAAGTAATAAAACATGGCAAGTTGCTAAGGTGAGTCACCTAGTAGCTTAAGCCATATGGCACATGTTAACACCATCATACAATGACTAAGCATCTTTTATGCCATCTAGCACGATGACTCGGCAAAGAAAAGGCCACGCACGCACGCACGCACACGGCGAGAGCAAGTGTCATTACCTTGTTTTACCTTCATTTTTCATGAATTATCTCCGTTTTTACTTACATAAATATAAGTCTCGGTCGTGCTTAAGTTTTCACCGAGCAAAACCGAGCCTAAGTCAAGTATAAATCGTGAGATAGTGAGAATATACCGAGAGAGAAAATATAAGTCTCGGTCGTGCTTAAGTTTTCACTGAGCAAAACTGAGCCTAAGTCAAGTATAAATCGTGAGATAGTGAGAATATACCGAGAGAGAAATATTGCACGTTGAGAACATAAGAAACCAAGCGAATTGTACTAGTCATTGAATATACCGAGAGAGAAATATTGTATGTTGAGAACATAAGAAACCAAGCGAATTGTACTAGTCATTGAAGGCGCGCACATAGCCGAGCACATCAAGCTAGCACATGCACGTTTCGGTTCTTTTGCCGAGCGTTTGGAGAGGTACCTTCATTCTAACCCTCTTTTAATATGTTCATGTTTATGTCAAGTAGATCATGCGCAAATCATGTTGTTCGGTTCAAGTTTTAAGTCAAAAAGCCCTCGAAGGTGCTATATAAGCTCTTCCCGAGCTAAGTCAATATCCAACCGAACACTTTCGAGCAATTCATGTAGATTTAGTCATGTCATGTCATTTAATGTCCAGCCATATAAGGTTTGCCGGAAAAAGTTATCGGAGGGCCGGCAAAGGGCAGACCGTAGGGCCCGCCTGCACGTAGCAGTGCAGCGCCAGTCGACAGCAACCTGCAACACGCGTGATACGGAAGTGGCTAGGCAGCTCAAGAACACCGCAA